TGTTTGGTCTCTGCTCGTCCCAAGGAGAGCGGTGTGTTTGGGATTTGTTTATACCACAGACATCACCCTCACATGCTGCTCTGTCAGACAAGGAAGGTCCAAGACATATGGCCTGCAGAAGGAGCAGACGGTAGAGAGATTTGGGATGGGCCTTGGTTCTGGGGCGTGGGGGCGTCAATCCACAGTACTAGGCCATTTTACAAACATGAGTGAAGCTAGCTGGAAGATGGGCATCGCCCCACGTTACAGCTGGGGCTGGACAGAGCGGGGCTGGACAGACCAAGGACTCTGGAGGAAACCTTTCCTTAGAGGCCGTGGGGCTGACTCTGACTTGCCGTCAGTGAGGAGTCTCAGTTTGACTCCTGATGCACCAGCGTCTCACCGCAGCCACCAGCGAGGGCTGCCAACTTTCTGATTGCAGAAAACCGAACACCCTTCCCCAAGGCTCCACCTCTTCCCTGAGGCCCCGCCCCTCCCTCCCCCTCCTTCCGTCGGCTCTCCCCCACCCTCGCTCACTTGCTCCTTTTTACTGGGCAGGGGGTTGGGGTGTGTGCGGGGGGGTGAGGGGTGCAGGCTCTGGGGTAGGGCCAGGGATGAGGGGTTTGGGGTGCAGGAGAGGGCTCTGGGCTGAGGGGATCGGAGTGTGGGAAGGGGTGCAGGCTCTGGGAGGGAGTGCAGGAGGGGGCTCAGAGCTGGGGCAGGGGGTTGGGGTGCAGGAGGGGGTACCTCAGGCAGCTCCTGGCAGTGGCTGGCATGTCCCTGTGGCCCCCAGGTGCAGGTGACCCCTAGGTGCACGGTTCCTGGCCCGTGGGAGCTGCGGAGCCAGCACTCAAGGCAGGGGCAACGTCTGGAGCCTCCCTGCCCACCCCTGTGCCTAGGGGCTGCAGGGACATACCAGCTGCTTCCGGAAGCTGCGTGGAGCCAGAGCAGACAGGGAGCCTGCCTTAGCCCCTCTGGACCGCTGACCGGACTTTCAATGGCTCGAAAACCGGACACCTGGCACCCCTAGCCACCAGCACCCTGTGCAGTAACTGGCCCTGGAACGGGGAGGAGCCCAGGGCACAATCTGTCTCGTGCCATGATCCCACGCCAGAGGGCAGGGCAGGCCGTGAGCTGCCGCCCATACCAGCCCCACCGGCCCTGGCCCAGACTCACGAGACCAGAAGCCACCGTGCGCTCCAGGGCAGCGTCTGGCCTGCACGGGGCTGGGAAATGGTACCAATGGGGCCAGCAGGCTCACTTCTCTGCCCCACTGCCTGCCCCCCAGCCTGGGCTCACGCGGGGAGCTGGCAATGCAAATGCAAGCGGCTCTCCCGGGGAGATCCTGCCCACTGGGCCGGCGGGGGGCAAGTGATTCTGCTGAGGTTTTGGAACAAGGTGGGAACTAGCCCCCAATCCTGGGCCTCACCACCTCCTGCAGGCAGCAGCCCTGAACCTGTGGCCAGCCTGGGTCGCTGAGCCCCGGCACGCCTGGCAGCCTCTGGGCCTGGCCCCATCGCTAAGCCGCACCGGAGTGGCGGGCAGGCTCCAGTGGGGACCAGCCCAGAGGAAGCGCTTTGCTGCTGGCTGTGCAGCACTTGCTGCTCCCTGGTCTCGCTGAGTCTCGCCGGGGCCGTAGGCCGGGAGCAGGACTCAGCAATGGAGAGGCCTGGCCGGAGCGGGAGGGGGCAGCCCCCTGACTGACAGAGCCCTGGCACCCGCCCCAGCCAGCAGCTGCGGGAGGCTGGCCAAGGCAGAGGCAGGGCCTGTGCCCAGGGCAGGGAGCAGCAGGAGGGAACCCCCACAGCCATTCGTCTCCCCCGCCCGCCCCCCGCTGCCGCCTGGCTCAAGCCGCGGGGGCGGGAAGCAGCTGCTACAGGGTTCCGTTGTTAATGGACACGGCCCAGAAGCGAGAGGGGCGCTGGGAAATGCTCCCCCCCAGCAAGGAGTGGGGTGGAAAGAGGAAGCTCATTTACTTCTTGGCGCTGGCAAGCAGACGTGCGGCTGGCTGGCCCACAGATCCGAACGGCGCAGGGTCCTCCACATTTTCCAGCTGGGGAAACTGAGGCGGGCGACTGACTCGCTTGTGGCCTTATAAGGATTCGACATCACAGCTGGGATCTGACACCAGGGGCTGCTGGAGCACTGGAGTCCCCACAGCAGGTGCTTCCCCACTGTCCCACCCTGTGACCCCCGCCCCCCAAATCCTCTGCCGCACTTCCACAGCGAGGGGCTGGGGCTGGCAGGATGGGTGAGGGGCTGCGGCTTGGAGGTGCCCAGACGCCCTGCAGCGGCAGTCCAGAGCCAAGGGGGCAGGGCAGGGGGGCTCCCCATTGTCCAGGCAGCTGCTGGTGACCCCCAGTGGGTCTCTCATGCTACAGCGGGTCAGCCTGGGTTCGGATGGGGCGAGCTGGCCGGTGGGTGGGTGGGGACAGCTCTAACCTGGGGGAGGTTGAGGGTGTGGGTCTTCCCCACGGGACCCCATGCAGACGCTGGGCTCCCTACCCCCCCAGCGGGGCTCTGTCCCTCAGTGGAAACGGGGGCTCAAAGGCCCAAGCACCAGGCGCAGGTGGCGGCTTGCAGGGAGCCAGCCTGGCTGGAGCTGCTCCTGGCACTGTGGGGCCCAGGAGGGCACAGCAAGGGCATTGCCACCCACTCCCACACCCATTCCCCAGACTGGCCAGGGGCCAGTCCGCAGCACTGCCAGCCATGACAGCCGTTTCCCTCCTCCCCCCGCCATGCTACCCTCTCATCTGCTCCAGCCCTGGCCTGGGGGGGAGCTCAGTCTCCATGCCCTTCCAGCCCTGAGCCTCTGCTGAGGCTGCCAGCTCTGGGCAGCTGTCGAACAGTTCGCCTGGAGGAACTGGGACCGAAACCCCCCAACAGTGCTGGGAACCTTCCCAAGCTGGGTCAGCAGCCAGCCCCAGCCCTGGCCAGCCCCCTGGCAGGGAAAGGCCCCCCAGGGCCTGGGGGTCAGGCTCCAGGGAGGGGCTGGGCCAAGCTGCCCTGCTGGCTGGCTCCCAGGAGGATCCTGACCGAGGGCAGGGAGCTGGGCAAGGCGCATGGTAAATGGCTCCCCGCTAAAGAGGAGGAGGCCGAGGGGCCCTGCCCTGGCCCTGGGGGCACAGAGAGCGACCTGCACTGACTGTGCGGGGGCGGGGGGGGGGTGCTACCTGTTCCATGGCAACAGCTCTTACAATTCCACACACCCCCTTGGACCATCCACGGCCAGTTTGACAGTGGGCGGGGGCTGTAGGCCAGCACCCAGCGCCCCTCACAGACCCCAGCATCAAGGGCACGTCCTCACAGGACACCCCCGAGTCTACCTCCAGCCCCTCCCCTGGGACAGCACCCCCAGCCATCAGCCAGGGCAGCGCAGCCACGAGCCGCCCCCCCCCCCATGCATGGCGGTAGCCGCTGGGTTCTGCTCAGAGGTCCCCGGGGCGTTTCCAAAGGGCTGAGGGCTGCAGCCTCCACGGCCTTTTCACGGGGGCTGGGCACAAAATGAACATTTCACTCTCTGGAACTACAGTGACACCTCCCCCCACCACCTGGTCATCAGCGGGGCCAGGATCTTGTGTGCTACAGCACAGACTTCTGCCTCTCACGCAAACACAGAAACTGGTAGCAGTAGAAGGCTGTTATCCTCATGTGGACCAGCCCCCAAAGGGGATGAAGAGACACTGCCAGTGGGTTCCACAGGGAGCTGCTTGTGTCCGGCGTGAGTCCTGTTCCAGGCTGCGGAGGGGAGTGTGTCCTAGGACCTGCAGCCCCCCTGCCCTGCTACCCCAGCTTCTGCCACTGTCCCCTCCCCTGCTGTTATCCCCACCAGCTCCTGCCTGTCCCTCCCCCGTCCTATTCCTGGCTTGTCCAACCGCTGTCCTTCCCATGTCTCCCCAATCCCACCGCATCCCACCCTGGCTCCTGCCCCGCAGACTCTTATCCCCCTGCCTTGTCCCCTCTCCCTTTGAGTCAAGCTGCTTCTGCCTTCTCCTCCACGTTGCCTGGGCCCAGCAGGGGAGCTCTGAGCGCACAGGAGGGACAAGCTCCCTGCTCTCAGTTCCCGGCTCAGTGCCAGAGCGATCCCCAGCAGCTGGGACCAGCAATTCCCAGGAGAGTCCAGCTCAGCCCCTGCAGCCTCGGACTGGAGCATGCTCAGTGCAGACAGAACCTGCGGAGACTTTAGCTGCCAAACTAACAAGTCTCTACTTGGCCAAACTGGGGTAAATTTTTGTGGGAGAAGCCATGGCTCATGTCTGGCACCAGGCGACCCCTGCCAAGTTCCAAGTCCCAGCTCCAAAGCACCGGGGTGTGAGAGCTTCTCCACCACAGCTATAAGAATTTGTTATTTTAACGTGGGCAAAACAGATTGTCGCCTAATCTCGTTCTCTCGACTGGTTGAACCATTTCAACAGAAACAGAGGCAGCCAGAGCCCGGAAGGGAAACCTCGGTTACAGCCCAGCAAAGTGAAGAGCAATTGAGGATGGGGGCTTCTGCGAGAACGCGTGAAGCAGCTGTCATTGGAAGGGGTGCTTCCCGCATGACCTGTGACCACGGCCCTTAGATGGCTCCCACCACCCTTTACGTGTCTTTATCCTCACAACACGGCCTGGGGGAGGGAGGGCAGTGCCGTTACCCCACTGTACAGGGGAGGGAGGCACAGAGAGACCAAGGCCCAGCTGCTCACAGGCACTGAGAGGCCATGCTCCCCCTGAACTCAGCGGGAGTTAGGCACCTAAATACCTGTGAGGATCTGGCCCTAGGTGACGTACCAGGTCACATGGGGAAAGCTCATGCTCAAATAAATTGGTTAGTCTCTAAGGTGCCACAAGTCCTCCTTTCCTTGTGGCAGTGCAGTGACTCGAACCCAGATCTCCTAGGCTAGCCCCCGCAGCCTTGCCCCACCCGCTCGCTCCATGGGGAATGGCCTCTCGGCTGGGGACCAGTTTCCCTCGCAGGCTGGCTGTCGTGCTTCAGCTCGCTGCACCATCCGCCCTACGACTAACGAGAGGAACAGACGGCGGAAAAACTGTTCTTCTTTAATGGGGGTGTTCCATTTGCTGCCACTGTCATGCTGCAGATCACCTGAGCAGGCGTGAGTGGGGAGAGACAGAGGAGCCTGCTGGCAGGCCTCCCACGAGAGTCCCCCGGTCCTCCCACAAGTGAAATGGTGTCTCAGAGGAGAACGTGCTGGGCCAGACCCAGGCTGGGGTCCCCCCGACCAAGCTGATGGCTCCAAGCTTGCTGAGGAAGTGCTGAATCCGATCTCTCCTTGCCACACTTCTGGACTGGTTTGTCCTTCAGAGGAGCTGTCCCTGGCACCTGGGGGACAGCCCGCTGCTCCCCCAGAGAGAGTGCTGACTGGCTTGTTCTCCTTTCCCAGCTCCTGGGAGTAGCATCACTTTAGTCACCCATTGCGGAGCTGCGGGTCTGCTGGGTGCTGAGTCCCGACGGCTGAGCTGCAGGCTCCAGCCTGGCGGCGTGTTCCTGCCGCGACCGGGGTTTCTGCTCAGTGCTGCACATTCAGACAGAGAACAATCACCTCTTCCTGCGCTGGAAACGCCGCAGCAGCCACTGGACGACGAAGGGCCAGGCGAGGAGGAACAGAAGGGTGCGAGCTGAGACCTCCAGCGGCCAGCGGGACGGCTTCTGCAGAGAGGAGACAAGCACAGGGAGGTGGGGAGGGGTTAGCGACCCTGAGGCTTCCTGGGTGCTCCGCAATGGGTGACTAAAGTGATGCTACTCTCAGGAGCTGGGGAAGGAGAACAAGCCAGCCAGCACTCTCTGGGCTGTTCACAGATGCTGGGCCCAGCACAGGTGTGACACAGAGCGCAGGGGCTCGGAGCGAGGCCCCTGCTACTGCTGCACTTTGCTTCTCGGCTTTATTAGCGTCTCCAGCTCAGTGACCCTCGGACCCCTCCCCAAGAGACAGCATCACCATCTCCCTTTGGGAGAGCCTGAGAACCAGCAGTAGGGCCCCAGTTTTCGGTGTATTGTCACCGTAGTTACTAGCGAGCGTCTCAGACGACGGTATCCTCACGACTCCCTCCGGAGAGGGGAGTATGGGGGAGGAGGCTCACCCCATCTCACAGAGGCTGTGACGAAGTGGGACTGTTCTTAATGTTTCTTCTGAATAGTGTGGGGGTGCCTCAGTTTCCCCTAGGCAGTTCTCAAATCTCTAGGGGGTGGGATAAGGGTGTATGATCGTTGCAGAGCCCTAGAGGGCAGGTGTGTGCAGGGGTCTGGACACAGAGAATGGCCGACACCCTGTTTCCTGGCCACTGATGGCCTGGGCCCTTCCCCCCTGCAAGGTGAGAGCTAAAGGGTTGGAGAACAAAAGAATCCGGTGACCTCCTGGCCTGGGAAAAGGATAAAGCCCAGAGGAGGGGGGGGGCTGGGGAGAGTTTCAGTTTGGGGCTGGCTGGAGACATGGAGTGAAGGGCAGACGTGGTTGTCTGGCTCACTGCCCCCCAAAACGGACCCAGCTGAGGGGTCCTGTTCTCTACACCTACAAGCTCTGTGTTAGACCATGTTCCTGTCGTCTAATAAACCTCTGTTTTACTGGTTGGCTGAGAGTCACGTCTGACTGCAAAGTTGGGGTGCAGGCCCCTCTGGCTTCCCCAAGACCCCGCCTGAGCGGACTCGCTGGGGGAAGTGCACGGAGGGGCAGAGGATGCTGAATGCTCCGAGGTCAGATCCAGGAAAGTAGAAGCTGGGTGAGCTGTGTGTCCTGCAGACAGGCTGCTCACAGAAAGGAGACTTCCCCAGAGTCCTGCCTGGCTTCGTGGGGAGCAGGTCAGAGCATCGCCCAGGGACCCCATGACAACTGGTGGTAGCGGTGGGATGTACTGCACCCCATGGATGGCACTTCCCGCAGTAAGTGACTGGGGAGCAGTAAAACGAAGGGGGATTGACGGGGACCAGGCGTGCTGAAGATTCAGAGAGAGACGGTTTCAGGGGGCGGTTAACCCCTGGGAGTGTGTGACCAGAGAGAAGGACTTTTGCAGTAACAGGGTTCCCCTGGGGATTGCAGTGAGCGGTCCCAGGCGCGGAGGAGTCTGCAGCTCGACCCTGGCAAAGAGGTGGTGACCTCGAGAAGGGCTGGCACACTAGGGGTTCTCCCTGGAAACCGTGGGGAGCTGAGAACACACGGGCCTGTGAGTCCACAACAACTTGGGAGGAGCGGAGTGATGGCCTGTCACCGTCTCCTTAAGAAGGACATTGTAACCCTGTGCAGAAAGAGAGGGTTGAGCGTTGGAAAGTTCACCAAAGCAGAGTTAATCGTGCAGCTGGAGGAGGATGACCGCTCTAAGGAACAGATTCCTGACCCCAACTGGGGCTATAGCAGGATCTGGGAGCAGCTGGAGCGGGAGCCAGGCATCGCCAAGACTCCTGTCCCCGACCAGACAAGGGTCTTCACGATCGGGTTCCCCATCCGGGGATCGGAGATGGACGGGAGTGGAGCTGAGTCCGAGAGCAAGAGGACTGTGAGAGACAGCGAGAGCCCGAGAAAGAGCTGCACAAACAGCAGCAGCATGAACTGGCGGTGGTGGGGCGGAGAGGCCTAGGGGACCTCCCAGGGGTGAGTGGGGATAGACCCCGGGGGGCCAGTTCCACAGGGAACCTCGAGACTAAATTGCTACCCCAGGTTAAGGGGAGGGGTGTGTGGATGCCCATCTGACTACCTTTGAGCAGGCTGGAGATCTGAACCAGGGGGACCCTGCGGAAAAGCCCCAGTGTCTAGCTCCCTTGCTGGGTCCCAAGGCCACAGACTCGGTCAGCCAGATGGGTGGGGATGTGGACAGGCTCCCACGCCTGACCCCAACCTATGTGTCTGTGTGGAGTTTCCTGGGGCCAGGCCCCTCGGACCCCCAGTGGGAGCGGAAGGTGATGGTCAATGGGGAGACATTCCTGGGGTGGCAAGATCCTGGGACAGAGAGAACTGGTGTCAGGCCCTGGGTGGTGCAGGCTTAGAGGCTGAGGGGCTGTGTGAGCTGGGTGAGGGTCCCAGGGATGAAGCCCCTCGCCCTGCCTATGGCCCAGATCCCTGTGCAGATCCAGGAGGGGTGGGGCTGGCTGGTCGTTGGGGTTCTCCAGGATATCAGCTGTGAGACCCTGTTGTGGGGTGACTGTGTCTCTTTGGGACAGGATCCAGGCCCTGCTCCTGTAATGGCCAAGGGTTTGAATTTGAATCCAGGGAACCAATCGGCAGAGAGGGAAATGGTCAGTGAAAATGCAGATGACCTGGCTGGCAGGGGGGAGGAGCGGCTAGGCTCAGGCTACCTGCCTTCCTGTAACCAGAACCCTGGGGCTGTGTGGGACAGAGAGATGCTCCCCGCCCCCTTACACACCGGAGAGGGGGGCTCAAGGGGCTCACGCTGGCTCTGATGCAGTGAGGAAAGCAGGGAGCTCGCTGCCTACCCCCACTGGGACAGCAAGGGCAGCGCTGAGCAAGGGGGGAGCTGAGACCCCAGCTGAGTGTGGGGAGATACAGGCAGGGCAGGGGATCTGTGGGGAGTGGCAAGATGCTTGGTAAGAAAAGTCTGGATGAGCCTAGGCAGCCTTGTGAGCTGATGGCTTTGTCTAGTCAGCAGGGCGGGAAGGCGAGGAGAGTGGAAGATGAGTGTCCCTGGACCTTACCTGTTAGCTGGGTGGAGAAGTGAGACAGTGAAGGAAATGTGCCTCTGTCTGCCAGGGGTATTGACTTGCCTATGGAGGGAGCTACCCTGATCTCCAAGCAGTTGTCTGTGACCAGCCCTGTGTGCTGGGACCAGGGGAAAGAGATCCCAAGGTGTGTGTCTGGGAAAGGAGAAAGTGTGTCCGGCTCTTCTTTGTCTGTGGAGCAGACAGAAGGGGCCTTTCAGCCAGTGATGGTTGAGGGTCGTGCAGTTGTCTCAGACCTGGTTCTGGATTCAGCTAACGCCCAGGAAGGGAAGGGTCCTAAGTTTGTGTCTGCTCGGGAGAATGGCCCTGTAACTAGGTCGCATCCAGTTAGTGTCTATGTAAAATCCCAGAGACCAGACAAGCTGTAGCTCACGAAAGCTCATGCTCAAATAAATTGGTTAGTCTCTAAGGTGCCACAAGTCCTCCTTTTCTTTTTGCGAATACAGACTAACACGGCTGTTCCTCTGAAACCTGTATTTTGCCTGTTGCTCGTGTGTTGTTGGGAAAGGGTGCAGCAACTCTGTCTAATCAGGGTGAGATCCCAGCCAGGGCACAAGGAGAGCATGAAGGTGATGTGACTGTGTTACCTACTGAGGGTGTGGAAACCTGTAGCAAGAAGGAAAAGATTCCTGAACTTGTGTGTGGCAAAGGGAAGGAGAATGCTTCTGACCTTTTATCTAGGAAGTCTGTCAGTTTGCCTGAAAGGGGATTGTGTAGGAATCTGCCGGAAGGGCCAGAGGTAATTCTGGATGTAAGGGAGACCCAGAAAGAGTCTGTTATTGCTCAGGAAAGTGTTCCTCTAGAGCAAGCCCTAGGTAAAGAGGGTAAGAGCAGAATTTCTGTGCGGGGTGAATTATTGCATAGAAAAGCCCTAGGGAAAGGAATCCTCATGGAGTCTTTGCAAGCAGTTTACTGCCACTGAAGGATGTGAAAGTGATTTAATCAAGAAAGTTTCAGGTCCTAACAGCGAAAAATTTTCTGTTGTGAATGGATCCACTGACTGTCCTGTTGAAAGATCCAGTCTGGATAGCTTTGAGAAGGTCTCAGATGGAGTGAAAGCTGTTAAGAAAGTTAAACAGTCCTATAACCAAGTGGCTGTGTTTGGCCAGCTTGTTGGGGAGAAGACCCAATCCCAGTTTGACCCCCTGGGGTTTTGGGGGTGGCCAAAGGGCACGGGCCGCATAAACCTTCCCACATGTGGCCTGCGAGTGCTATCGACCACCCCCGACCTAAGGGAGGGCGTAACACTGGAAGGGCCTGGTGTAACTACCACCAAGGAATGGGAGAAATGCTGGGGCATCCATGGGAACGTTGCTGGCTTCGAACTTCCCCAGGTCACCGGCTAAAGTGACCCCGCTCAGTTCAATCTCGCAGGGGGGAGAGATGTGACAAAGTGGGACTGTTCTTAATGTTTCTTCTGAATAGTGTGGGGGTGCCTCAGTTTCCCCTAGGCAGTTCTCAAGTCTCTAGGGGGTGGGATAAGGGTGTATGATCATTGCAGAGCCCTAGAGGGCAGGTGTGTGCAGGGGTCTGGACACAGAGAATGGCCGACACCCTGTTTCCTGGCCACTGATGGCCTGGGCCCTTCCCCCCTGCAAGGTGAGAGCTAAAGGGTTGGAGAACAAAAGAATCCGGTGACCTCCTGGCCCGGGAAAGGGACAAAGCCCAGAGGAGGGGGGGGCTGGGGAGAGTTTCAGTTTGGGGCTGGCTGGGACATGGAGTGAAGGGCAGACGGGGTTGTCTGGTTCACTGCCCCCCAAAATGGACCCAGCTGAGGGGTCCTGTTCTCTACACCTACAAGCTCTGTGTTAGACCATGTTCCTATCGTCTAATAAACTTCTGTTTTACTGGCTGGCTGAGAGTCACGTCTGACTGCGAAGTTGGGGGGCAGGATCCTCTGGCTTCCCCAAGACCCCGCCTGAGCGGACTCGCTGGGGGAAGTGCATGGAGGGGTAGAGGAGGCTGAATGCTCCGAGGTCAGACCCAGGAAGGTAGAAGCTGTGTGAGCTGTGTGTCCTGCAGACAGGCTGCTCACAGAAAGGAGACTTCCCCAGAGTCCTGTCTGGCTTTGTGGGGAGCAGGTCAGAGCATCGCCCAGGGACCCCATGACAGAGGCAAACCATGGCAGAGACACCAAGGGCAGTACTGAAGGCCCCTTGCTCGCCCAGGGCTGTCACTCACTAGGAGGAAGGGGCCCAGCCAGGGCTCGGATCCCAACAGAGACTCACCCCAGATCACATGTGGAGCCTGTGGCCAAGCGGGGAAGAGACGCCTGGTTTCCCGGGTCCCAGCATGCTGCTTTCACTGCCCAGCTGGGGACCTGCCTTTAGATACCTGGGCCTGGTTTGCTGAAGTGGCCAGTGCCCCGGGCAGCAGCTGAATGCAGGAGCAACCCCACTAGCCCCCGGGTCTGGGATAAGCGCAGAGCGTAGCTGGGCTGAACCCGCGGTGGCTTTGGGTGGACGGCGGTCTGGCTCCTAGACTCTGCTCTGCTCTGCTCTGCCAGCTGCTGGGGCTGGTCGACTCGCCACTCCAGGCTGCACAAGCCCAGTAGGCAGCTGCAGATGGAGGCTAAGCCTAAGTGTCTCTCCCCACTTCTTCCTCCTGGAGTCCTTGTCCTTCTGCCCGCCCAAGGACAGCACCTCCCACGCCCTCTGCCCCCACCAGCCCCTTCCTCCCCCGAGCCCAGTGGGGCAGCTCCCCAGGACCCTGCTGTCATCCATCCGTGGCTCGGGTGGCCCAGCCGCGCTGCACGTGTGCCTGGGAGACGAGGGAACTGCTGGGAAACCGGGGCCTGCAGCGCGCTTGTCTTTGAGCACAGCCCTACCTGCCGGTGGCGAGGGCCGGACCCAGACGCGTGCCCCTGAAAGACAGAAAGAGGCTCAGCTCAGTGCCACGTGGGCTGGTGCGAGGGGCTGGGAAGCTGGGCAGTGAGGGGAGCCCAGCCGCACCCATTTCCTGCTATGTAGAAACAGCACTGCCATTTTCACTGCACGCGCCCCCCACGGGCATAGGGGATCCAGCCCCACAGCCGCGGGCAACGTCCCCTTGCTCTGCGCCCTGGGACTCACACACCAGCACAAGAGGGCCTGAGGCACCTTTCCTGACTCCACGCCTGGCGGGAAGGGACTTGCTGGGGTCACCCAGCGAGTCAGCGTCAGAGCGGAGTCTCTGTGCCGCGGCTGCCCCACCGCTCACCCCCGGCTCTGCGGGAGCTAACCCCCCCCAGGCTCCAGCTGGTGGCGTGCGCAAGGCACAGGCCCTCTGGCAGCCCAGCCCCGAGCCTCCCAGCCACTGACCAGAGCAGAGCCTGTCTCCACCGGGGGCCTGGCCCCAGGAGCTCACCTTGCCGCTGTGAGGCCCTGTGGTCTGATAGCGACCATCTCCCCCACACCCCGATTGTAACCAAGGGGGTGTGTGTGCATGTGGGTGTCCGGCCTGGAAAGCGCCCCCTTGCGGGCCTGCCTGTGGCATCGGCATGGTGAGGGGCACGTACCTGCATGGTGCTCAGCGTTTCCAGGCGGCTCAGCCTCTTCAAGACGGTCCGCATGTTGTCCTGCAGGGCACGGACGGTGCCAAGCAGCTGCACATCCAGCTCCGGCCAGAGCCTGGTGCTCGCTGCTTCCCCCTGGTCAGCATCTGGACAGCCCCTGGCTCCCGGGGCAGCCTGCAGCTCTGTGGGGCAGGAAGGACAGACAAGGATGCCAGAGGGACAGACCAGGGAGGACGAGGCTTCGTCCTCCACGGTTGCCCCAGAGTTTGTAACCGAGGGATGCTGCAGGCCCAGGCCAGGAGGGTGCAGCTCGGTGATGCGAGGCTGGGCTAACCCTGTCAGGTACAAGCCTCTTCCCCCAGGGGGTTCTGGGGCGGCTGGGCGTGACCTTCAGCTGGAAGGACGTGCTCTGCTGGAGCCGACCCAGACGGGTGACGGTGGCTCAGCTCTGTCCAATCCCCACCATCACTTCTCCAAAGCACGTGCGGTTTTGCTACCAGACTGGCGAGACTCCCGGGCCCGGGGAGGCAGACGTTCCCCCGGGCCGGAGAAGCGCCAGGCGCTAACTCCAGCAGGGGGCAGCACAGAGCAGGATCCATCCGAGGCATTAGTGAGCGCAGCTGGACGCTGGCTCTGAGTGAAGTGTGCTCGGGACCCAGGTGCCTTGACTGATTAGCACTGGCATCCGGCCATTGGTGCTGGGAACTGCCCTGCAGAGCTCACCCGGTCAGCACACGCTGGGGCTGGCGGGTCACGGTGGCCCAAGCCTGTGGCCATCAGCCCAAGCCTACAGAGAGGCATCCTGGTGGTCTGTGTGTGACACAAACGGGTGGGTTTCCAGGCTGTGAAGTCAGCTGGATAGTGTGGGGGGGGAGGTCTCAGCCCAAGGGGCCAGGTGTCCATACCACGGCCATCACCAAACAGCCCCTGGTGGCACAGTCTAGCTGGGGAACAAGCTCACCCCAGGGCTGGTCCCTGTGGGCAGGGGTGGCAGGCTGGCAGGTGGCTGCATGGGAGGAGATGGCCCTGACCTCTGTGGGGAAACACAAGCCATCAGGCCCTTGGGCCATCAGGCCACTGGAGAGCTGGAAGGTGCCAGCCAGCCTGAGGTCAGCTCATGCTGTGACCAGGTCACCCTTCCCAAGCTGGGACACAGCCCAGCAATGGAGGCTCAGCACGGGTTAGCGAGCCAAGTGTGGACCCAGAGCCCCAGGGCGCACGTCTTCAGAAGGGCTCAGCTCCCCTTCAGGAGCTGAAACAAACTTGCCAGGGCTTCAGCAGAGCCTGGAGACAACAGAGCATTTCCTCTCCCCCACACCCCCACCCCAGAGAGCAATGGGAGCGGGTCGGTGCTATGCACTGGGGAAGGAGTGGCTGTGTGCGAACAGGCTGGCAATGCTCATCTGGAATCAGCGTCACTTCTCTTGCTGCACTGACCCCAAGCTAAGCTGCCGCCCAGGCCCCTCACCCTGCTCCCAGTCAGGACCAGCGTCGCAGGGCTAGGGGAGAAGAGCAGAGATCTGGCTTGGCAGCCTGGCCGATGCCTGAACCCACCCCTGCAATCCCCGAGGAGAGGCAGCTGCACTGAGCCAGTCGCCCCTGTCTGACCGAGCGCCGGCACGGAGCCCCCAGCGCCAGGACCCTCTGGGCCCCAGGGTGTGCTGTGGGTGGGAGTGGGGAGGAGGCGACGGAGCGCTTGAAATGGTGAGTGCATCCAATGGACACGGCTACCCCGAGTCACAGCGTGGCTGCTATGAGGCACAGAGAGATCACGTGGCTAGCCCGAGGTCACTCGGTGAGTCTGAACCCAGGAGTCCTGACTCCCAGCCCTGTAGTTTGTCTGCTCCTCAGGTTGCACTGTATCCCTCCGTGCTGCAGGCCCCCCAGGCCCAGAGCACTGTCAAGGAAACACTTTCACAGGAGCCTTGCTCCGGGGTGCATGATGACCTCTTCATGCCGGGGTGGGATGCAGAGAGGGCTTTGCAAAGAGCGCAGGCCAGCACCCCTGGTTCCGGCTGGCAGCTAACACAGACTGGGGCCGCATCTCACAGCAGCGCTCGGGAGCAGAAAGCAGGGACCAGCTCCTTCCGCAGAGGCACCAGCCTGGGGAAGGAGCAGTCCAAGCCCAGGGGCTGCTCTGCTCCCACTCAGCCCCAGGGTGGCCTTATCCTGAGAGCTGTTACAAATTAACCTGCCAAGCAGCCTGGGATGGGGCTGAAGGAACATGAATGGAGGAGATAAGCGTGGATGGATTTTGCTTCGAGTGGGTGAGATGCCAGCGCCCGCCCTTCCCTGTCTGCGACACAGCCCTGGCGGGGACAATCACCCCCTCTAGAGGTGAGTGGGGCAGACGCACGACACAAAGCACAGACGGGATCGTGTGTGGCCTGGCCGTGGGGCGTCGCTTTCCTCCTCAGCTCGGTGCTGGGCTGCTTTACCCAGCCCTCGCTGGAGGGGTGGCTCCGGGGTGGCCATGGGGGCACATGAGCAGCAAGGGTATGCAGCCATGGGAGCAGTGCCCAAGGGAGGCGGAGGATTCTCCCTGTCAGGATTGGATGGCTCTTCCTAGCAGACGCTCTGGCTCCACAAGAGTGAGCAGGCTGGATGGAGAACCCCTGGGGGGCCTCAGGCCTGTGCTATGGGGCAGGTTGCACTGGATGAGCCCAAGGGTCCCTTCTGTGTCCAGGACATTCCCAGACTCCCTCCAGCCCCCAGAGGCCCAGCGGCAGTGAGTGTTCCCCTGAGGAAGGGCAGGGAGCTGCCCACCTGGCAAGAGGACGGATTTGTCCACATGTCCATGGCCAACATCAGTCGATTCCCACCGCTGATACTGACCCAGCTCACAGAGGTGCTGCAAGCCTTAACCCATTCATGTCCAAGACTGCTGGGCGGGCGCACCAATTACGACACGGCATTGCCTACATGCAGATGGCCTGTGGCCACTTGTGCTGCTCCGAACAATGCCCCGTTGCAGACGCCTCCTGCGGGGCTGGGCGACCCGAAGACAAAGGCAGCAGCTTCCCGCACTTGATGTGTTTGGAAGAGACCTGCCAAGATGCTCCTCAGGAACGGTTCCTCAGCTAGGAGGGCCCAGTCTGCGTCCTGGGTGCAGCTCAGACACACAGCCGGCCACCTGCCCTACAGGCCTCCTGAGAGCACTTGCACCAAGGCTCCCTTTGCACAGGCTGCCCCACTGCCTGGGGGGTGCAAACTCCGAACCGTGTGTGCAGAGGGCAGAGGCATCAGACCTGCCCAGCTGGCATTTCCTGTCATGCGACAGAGACCTCCTGAAACGTGACCCACGGAGCACAGTGGGAATCATGCTCGTGGGCTGAGTCTATTCAGGGCCTGCCTGAGGGGCAGCCACAAACCAAATGCCTTGGGAAGCGGTGGCTGGGCACAGCCAGGGCACAGGTGCCAGCCCCGGCTCTCAGGGAAGGAGGGGGGATACTCAGCGCCCCGTGGGATCGGGCCATTAAAGAGCCTGAACTGGGCCAGCACGTGCCTGAGCCCTGGCCTGGCAGAACCTCCCAGGGGAGGTGGGGGGGTTCGCGCTCCGTGGCCCATTCAGTCCCTGGTAGCTCTGCCCACAGGGTGTTAGCGTGTGCAACTCACCCCGTCCCTCAGACCCGCCAACTCCTTCACCAGCCGACACGGAGCAGCCAGGCAGGGCTGGGCTGGATTTGACCTGGCGACCGGGGGGAGGCTCCCTAGCTCCTCACCAACTGCCTGGCTCAGCTGTTCCCAGGGGGCTGGGACAATGTGTACAGTGGGGGGCGCTGAGAGTCACTGAACCAAACTGTAAACCCTGCATCTGGTGGAAACCACGTCAGGCCGGGGGGTGCGGCAGCCCCCAGACCCAGCACCTCTGGCTGTTCCCCTCCTGCAGACCCTGGCAGAATCACCCGGCAGGCGCTCAGCCCAAGGGCTCCTTGGCCCCAGCATTTGCTTCCCTGACTCAGCGTCCTTCCCTTCCCCGCTGCGTATCAGCACAGCGAGAGCTCAGCCCCCCGCCTGCCACTGCGGCAAGGAGCTGAACTACCAGCAAACCCAGAGGCAGGCCTGCACGCCCCGCCCCAGCTCCACCCAGGTCCGAGGCCCCTGGCTCTGCTCCACCCCACCCCACCCCACCTAGCACCATGGCTCTGCTCTACCCCACCCAAGGGCTGGTGCCACACCCACCTCTCTCTGTGCCGAGGGGCCTGGGGCCATCGCTGCTCTGCCCGGCTAGTCCGCCGCCTTCGCCAGGCTCTCCCTCCCTGCAGGTTTCCAGGGACTCACGCCCGACATCGGCATGTAGGCTGGCTGCATGAGGACTGCTTAGGGAAAGGCTCTGCCCAGCCACGCGCTGACCAGCCTACGGGAGGGGAAAGGGCAGCAAGAGTTGCAGTGAGACCCCCAAGTGCCAGGGGTGAGTGGGTGAGACACTGCAGGGAGAGGCCAGATGTCCAGTGGTTAAAGCAGGGAACCAGGAGTCAGGGCTCCGGGGATCCATGCCCAGCTCTGCCACTGACCCACTGCATGACCTGGGTTGAGCTCCTCCCCCACATCCACCTGCAAAGAACCATTTACCTTTCTGCCAAGGGCTTTGATTAAACCTGGCAGGAACCATCACAGACAAGAGATGTAACTTAGCCACAACATCTCAGACTGCAGTAAAGGTAGGAACAGACCCAGGGGTCCCAAGCCAGGCTTCCACCCACTAAAGCCAGAACTTTCACCTAGCATTTTCTACCCCCCAGAAAAGGACCATTCCTACACAGAGCAACCCACAGAAGCACCTGCGAAGTGGGATACGCTGGGCTGTGCCTGACAGTCTGTGAGCTCGGTGCGAGCTCTCTGCCCCAGCTCTGGGATAACCCCTGAATTATCCTGCTGCCCGAAGACTGGGCTGGAGGCAACCAGCAAAAGCATGAGCAAACACAGCATGGCGTGCAGTGGGTCCCTTGGCCAATCCGCAGCACAGAGAACCACCCATGAACACCTGGGGTGAGAGACACTGAGTTTTGATTTGCATAATTCCCACAGCCATACCTCCTCCTAATACAACTAAATGAAACCAGACCAAGCTCTACACACGGAGCCATTCCCTGCCCCTCTCCATGGAGCTATCCGAGAGCGATACCGATGAAGGAGCTTCCACTAGTTGCTGGGGATGGGAACACATGGACTGGGACTCTCCTCCCACTGCCCCCAAGCACGGTGCAGGGCCCCGCGGGGTCCTTCTCTCCCTGGTCCCACACGGGAGGGGAGCAGGTGGCTCATGCTCTGCAGCAAGCGAGGCCCCCGCCCGGTGCACACGTAGGAAGCAGCGAGGGAGGGCAGCTGCCATCAGGGCTCTGACTGAGACTCACGTGTGGGATGGCCGGAGAACAGGCGCCCAGACGGCAGCAAGGGATACTGGGGTCACCAGGCAGGGGCCGGGGCCCGAAGGGAACTCAGAGCTCTGCTGAGCAGAGGCACTGTAGGACAGGGCGCTGCAGATCCGGGCCTGGCACAGCAGCCGGTGGGAGCGAAATCGGGGCACCGTGCTAAGTGCGCAGGGGAATGGCTGTGCGGAAGGAGGGACGATCTCTTGGCACATGAAGGTATCTGGACCCGGGCCTCACATTGGCTCACTCTGTGAGCGGCGTTACCTGGCCAGGCTCTATCTGCTCCAGGGTGTCACTGTAGACTTCGCTTTCTGAGTCACTGGTCACTTGGCTGCTCTCCAGGGCTTCGTCAGTGCGGCCCAGCCCGCCACCTGGAATGGGAGACACACGGCTCAGCGGGGGGGGGAACACACGCGGATCAGGGGGGATGGGGGCGGCTCGGCGGGGGTGGGGGAGCACACATGGCTCAGGGGGGGACGCGGGCAGCTTGGCGGGGTGGAGGGACACAGCTAGGTGGGAGTGGGGGAACACGCAGCTCGGGGGTGGGGGGATGCAGGCAGCTTGGCGGGGGTGGGGGTACACACCTGGCTCGGGGTGGGAAATGGGTGGCTCAGCAGGGGGAGACATGGGGGTGGCTGGGTGGGGGGATGCGTATGGCTCAGCAGGGAGGCGTGGGTGGCTCAGCGTGGTGGGGGGGCACTCTCTGGCCAGGCACCAGGAGAGCAGGGGGCTCATCACAGCAGTACAGGATGTTGAGTGGAAGGATTTTCAATCTAATCCGTGTCCTTTGTGCCCCAAAGCCACAGGCTGGGGCAGTCACTAGAAGGCCAAAGATCCATGTGCAGGAAGCAAAGCCCACCAAGTGCATCTGGGGGGTTTGATCCTTCCCTGAGTGCCGCTCATCAGGGATCTCGCCACACTTAGCTCACACAAAGCCTCAGAGCTCACCTCATCGCACATCACTCACTGTTCAGATGGGAAAATGGGAGGAGAAGGGATGTGCCCAAGGCCATGGAGTCAGTAGCAGAGCCAGGAGTCCAGGCTCTCAATCATGGCCCTGCTGTGCCTGCTACATAACACTCTTCCCAGGACACAGCGCAGGGCCCTGGCCACCTGACACTGAGGAGCACAAATGACAAGACTGCCATGGCCCCCGACAGACAGCAGCACCCCAGCGGGATGTGAAGCTTCCTGGATGGGAGAAAGCGCCACTGAATGTGATTTGCAGCCAAGAGAAGCCCCACATCCCGGGAGTTTCAAGCGCTGCCCACGGTGTTTATCTGGCACCACACACGGCCCACGTGCCCCACCACGGAATAACAACATGCCGACCTCATGCCCACTTCCACCTCACGCTGTGGAACAGGCCCTGCCCTTGTGCCAGCCACCGCCCAACCCCCTGCCCACTTCCACCCCGCCTGGGGTGCAGGCCCTGCCCCCTGTGCCAGACAGGACACTGGGTTTGTTCTCCTCACAGTAAGGCCAGGCCAACTCCCCTTGGAGAGCCCCTCTGGCACACCGGAGCCAGCACTGAGCGCCTGCCCCTCTCGGTTCTGCTCCCCAGACACAGCGTCCCCCAGGAAGTTCCCCGAAAGTCTTGCTGCTTGGCCATCCCGGCTAAGGACGGAGTCCCTCTCCCGTTTGCCTGCACGGAAAGGGAGCAATCGGACTGGCCCCTTAGCACTCAGCAGACAGGTCGAGGGCTGAGATTCCCACACGTCAGCCCCTCGGCACCGACCCAACAAAGCCCACAGCATCACTGCTTCCAAGCCCCACTCCAGAGCTCCCCCCCACACACATCCCCTCTAGGAGCCCGGCCAACCCCAGGGAGGGGCGTCTTCTGGCGCCCAGCCCAGATGGAAAGAGACGTGGAAACACTTCCACTGCCCCCCCCCTTTACCCACCATGGGCTCTTCGCTGGCTGCCCACGGGCATGCTATCCTGACTGGGCCCACCTGCGAGAGCAACATCGCTGCGCCCAGACGCCCTCGCTGAGCCAGGAGAGCAGCCACCAGCACCCGTAGGACAAGCATGGAGACCACACCCGGACCCTTGAGCCCCTCCTCAAGGGCCCGCAGAGCTGCAGGGGGAGCTGCAATCAGCCAGTGAAGACAACAGGCCCCAGGGCCCACAGCCAGCACCGGGCCCTTTGCTGGCAGTCCATAGGTTCCAAGGCCAGAAGGGACCACTGGGATCACCCCGTCTGCCCTCCTGCATGGCACAGGCTGGAGAATGCCCCTGGGATAATCCCTGCTGGAACCACAGCATCGCTGCCAGGAACACAGTCAGATTTCAGGGCTGCCAGTGAGGGCGAATCCGCCGTGGCCCTGGGTGAGTTGCTCCGCTGGTCAGTTACCCTCACTGCTAAAAACCTGGTTTCTGTTCTGACTTTACTTAACTTCAGCGTCTGTCTCCTGGATCTTGTTAGGCCTTTGTCTGCCCTCAATTACCAAATATTTGTGCCCCTGTAAGTATTTACAGGCCATCATCAAACCGTCTCTCTGTTAAGCTGACTAGACAGAGCTCCGTGAGTCCATCACTGGGCGGGCTGGTGCGTGACAGGGCCACGCGTGGGTGTGTGGGGAGGAGGCAAGTGTCTTTCCTCTGGGGTCTCAGACATGGGGCAAATCCCAGCCTGGCACAGGTGATTCCAGCTCTATGTGAGTGACAGACAGGAGGCCTTGGCATGAGGGAGTCTGCGGCACTGGGCAAGGTGACCCCACAGGATGGGCTCTGGGCAGGAGCTGAGCAAACACTGGCTGGCTGCCCTGCTGTGGCCTAGACCCCCCACTTCCAGCTGTGTGAGCCATGAGGGGCATCGCCAGCAAGAGCAGCTTGAGCCAGGATGGCAGCTCTCCCGCCAGGAGCAGCGTGCAGCAGGCCCAACTCAGCAGACACCCTGTTTAGGCTGCCTGTAGCCCTGGAGGAGCCTGGCTGCTTGGCCGTGAGGGCCTTGGTCCCACCTGCCTTGGCCAGCGCTTCGATCCTTCCTTGGTTAACAGCTGTGGAGGGATGCAGCATGCACGGGGTTAATACTAGGGCCACAGGGTCTGCGGAAGTGGCTCACAGAGATTGCTAGTGGCACCAAGCATCCAATGTGCTCACACAAGGAGTGCGGGCCCCGTTCCTCCAAGGGGTGCAGAACCCCCAGGGCTTATGGGGGCTCCCCTAGGGCAGGAAGGGTCTGTGCTGCATCCCCACCAGTGTTACGGCAAATGGAGTGACAGACCAGGCTGCCGTGTGCAGAGCAGCGAACTCCCCCTGCATGGCTATTCTCACCCCCCAGAGGAGCCGTGCTCTGCCCAGGAGGTCACACTGCTGTGCCAGGGGCTAGGAACTGAACACAGCAAATGCCCCTGGAAACGGGTAATAACTGTCCTGCCCACAGAGTGCCACAGAGGACTGCGATGTGCTCTCCCATAGCTGTGCCCGCTCCTGCAGGGCTCACGGGAGGGAAGCTTGTCTGTGCCTCCCATCTGCTGGCACAGGGGTGGGGGCTGGCAGCACATAGCTGCTTCCCCGACTGGAAGCGGCATTCTGCTGTCCATAGGGACGTCCGTTCACAAAGTTCCTCTCTTCAATCCCTAACCCTAACGGAAGGGCCGCTGTCGGCTGAAGAGCCGCCTGGGCAGACACAGGCTGGTCTACTTCAGCTCCGCAGCTCAGGTGATTGACAGGGAGCGAGTCTACAAAGCCAGCTCCCCTCACGCTGCATGGCCGAGGGTTTCAAACCTGGTTAGTGTTGGGGGTGGGGGAGGAAGGCCAGTTGGAGACCCCAGGGAGAGGTCTGATTTCAGCCAGCAGGAATCAGGCCTGTTTAACATGCCTTGAGTAGAGCACCTCACCCTGAAATATCCTTGAGTCGGCAGCTGCTTTACGGCCGCATTCGACTCCTTGCGTGGCTCCGTTGGCCAATGGAAATCACGGGCGGCAGTTTCGCCTTGTTTGTCGTCAGTTCCATAGATTCCAAGGCCAGACTGTGATCCTTCACTCTGACCTCCCACAGAGCACAGGCCGGAGCACTGCCCCAGAACAATTCCCAGAGTGAGGTTTGGAAAAACAGCCAACCTTGATTTAAAGAGTGCCACTGAGGGATCCGGGGTAAGTTGTATCAATGCTTCATTGCCCCTCGCTGTTAACAATTCACACCTTATTTCCAAATCTGAATTTGTCTGGCTTCCACTTCCAGCCACGGGATCATGTTACACCTGTCTCTGCTAGATTGCAGAGCCCATTATTAATTTGCTCCCGATGTAGGTACTAGACTGTGATCAAGTCACCCCATAACCTTCTCTCCGTTAAGATCAAGGAGCTTAATCTAGTTGATCACTGTTGGGTAGGTTTTCTAATCCTTTAATCACTGTTCTGGCTCTTCTCTGAACCCTCCTCAATTTGACTCTACAGATGCTCCCTGGGTTACGCAAGACCTTACACAAATCCGCACTTTCGGAAAAAGTTCCATAAGCTAGAAATAGGAGGGATTTTTTTTTTTTTTTTGCGTAACCGTCAGGTATACGTTTCCGACTTATGCAAAATTCGAGTTACCCGTTCTGGAACGGAATTATTGTGTAAATTGGGGAGCGTCTGTAACAGGGTTCAAAAAAGAACTAGATAAATGCATGGAACATCAGAATGGCCATACTGGGTCAGACCAAAGGTCCATCTAGCCCAGTATCCTGTCTGCCGACAGTGGCCAGTGCCAGGTGCTCCAGAGGGAATGAACAGAACAGGTTATCATCAAGTGATCCATCCCTTGTCGCCCATTCCCAGCTTCTGGCAAACAGAGGCTTGGGACACCATCCCTGCCCAGCCTGGCTAATAGCCACTGATGGACTTACGCTCCATGAATTTATCTAGTACCTGTAGAACTCTGGCAAAGAGTGCATTGTGTGAAGAAACCTGAACCTTTTCCAGTCCCAATCTATCTTTTTTGAGATGGGGCAATCACATCTGCACACAGTATTCAAGATGTGGGCGTACCACGGATTTATATAGAGGCAATATGGTATTTTCTGTGTTATTATCTATCCCTTTCTTAATGATTCCCAACATTCAACCTGTGGAACTCCTTGCCAGGGGATGTTGTGAAGGCCAAGACTATAACAGGGTTCACAAAAGAACTGGATAATTTCACGGAGGATAGGTCCATCAATAGGTCCTGTTAGCCAGGATGGGCAGGGATGGTGTCCCAAGCCAGTTTGACAGAAGCTGGGAATGGGTGACAGGGGATGGATCACTTGATGAGGGGTAGCTCAGTGGTTTGAGCATTGGCCTGCTAAATCCAGGGTTGTGAGTTCAATCCTTGAGGGATCCATTTAGGGATCTGGGGCAAAAATTGGGGATTGGTCCTGCTTTGAGCAGGGGGTTGGACTAGATACCTCCTGAGGGCCCTTCCAACCCTGATATTCTATGATTCCCTGTTCTGTTCATTCCCTCTGGGGCACCTGGCACTGGCCACTGTCAGCAGACAGGATACTGGGCTAGATGGACCTTTGGTCTGACCCAGTCTGGCCGTTCTGATGTTCTTACAGCAGTTCTGTAGAATTCAAACAGGAAATCCTAGCAGTCGTGGCAACCCTACCAAACAGCAGCATTTTGAACTGAGCTCATCCATTTTAAACCTACAGCTGCAATAGGACAAACTTTCAGATTAGTTTTTTCAAACCTTCACCCTGGTATAAATCAATGACTAAAAACAAACCGAGTGATTTAAATCAGGAGTTAAGCGGCTGCCTCCTCTCACTCTGTATCAAGCCTGAGTTTGATAAAAAGTTGTCCCATTCCTAGTGCAGGTTTACAGGGGCAGGTTCACGAATGGAGATGCCCTGAGGAGGGCAATGGCTGGTAGCTTAGGCTCTGTGTTTACGTTCTGGAGACAACAGAGCACATTTCTATCACCCACAGGTTCCAAAGAGGATCCAGCATTGACATGAGGACGAGACCACCGAGTTCCCCTAGATACAGGCCCTCCTGCTGCAGGGTCTAAGCCAGTCACCCAGTGCCACAGGCACCGACTCCCTGGGTGCTCCGGGGCTGGGGCACCCATGGGGAAAAAAATGGTGGATGCTGAGCACCCACCGGCAGCTCCCTATCAGCTCCCTCCCACCTCCCCAGTGCCTCCCGCCCGCCGGCGGGCCCCACGGATCAGCGCCTCTCCCTCCCTCCCCATGCTTCCCACCCGCCAGTGGGCCCCACAGACCAGCACCTCCCCTCCCTCCCTGTGCCTCCCGCCTGCCAGCAGGCCCCACGGATCAGCGCCTCCCCTCCCTCCCCGTGCCTCCCGCCTGCTGCAATCAGCTGTTTGGCGGTGCGCAGGAGGCTCTGGAGGGGGAAGGGGGAGCGAGGATGCAGCACGCTTGCAGGAGGGGGCAGAACTGGGTGGAAAGAGGTGGGGCGGGGGCAGGAAGAGGTGGGGCAAGGGTGGGGCCTTGGGGGCAGGGCCCGGGTCAAGCACCCCCCTGGCACTTTGGAAAGTGGGCTCCTGTGCTCAGTGCCCCGGGCAGGGGAAGAGGATTCCATCATGCCCCACCAGGGGCGTTCTTGCCCAGGCCAGAGGAAGTGCAGTCACCCAGCAAGGCCCAAACTCGGCCCGTCCCTTCGTCAGCGGGAAGCCCGCACTGCCATGCCACGCCCGGCTCGCAGCTCCAAGGCCGGCTCCGGATTCTTGTTTTCGGCGCTGCTCCGTGGGGAGCCGAGTCCTCACGGCTCAGCGCTGGCGGCGGCCAAACCAACGCTTACCAGGCTTCCAGGGCAGGGCCACTTCTCCCAAGCGCCAAGGGCAGATCTCTGCTCGGCGACCTGCGCCGCCAGCAGCCCCGGCCAGAGCCCCCGCGCGCGTGGCAGGGCAGGAGGGTGCCCTCAGGCCACAGCCGCTGGTGGCAGCTCGAGCGAGCCTGGTGTGAACGCATCCGGCGAGGAAGCGAGCGGACGGTTTAAAGGTCAGAGGGGATGTCTCCATTAACACGGGGCTCCCAGACGGAGCCCCACAACCCCAGCTAGGCTGAAGCTCCCCGGGGTGCAGGCTGCTAGACATGCTGCACAGCTGCTGGGGGGCAGGGCAGGGGAAGGAGGGCGGAGCCTATAGTCAGCCCACCATTGCATCCCTGCAGCCCAGCCACGCCCTCCTCCCGCTCTGCCGCGGGGGGCTGAGGCTCTCACATACAATCACTCAAGTCAGGAGCACGGAGAGAACAAACTGGGCACAAGTTCTAGTCAGGAGCGAGCCCCCCAGGTGCCTGTAGTCTCATTCCCCACTCCCTCCCTGTTCACAGCACGCAGTGGGGTGGCGAGGGCTCGGCTTGCGCTGCACAAACCCACATCAGGCAATGCCAGCTTGCTGGATGCAGCTGGGCCGAGGCTGCACTGTCCTCGAGGACACGCCATCTGGGAGTCCAGATTGACAGGAAGAGGAAGGCTAGGACTCAGGAACCCAGGTTTAATTCCCTGCTTCGTCACAGACTCCCTATGTGACCCTGGGCAAGTCACTTAGCCTTTCTGTGCCTCAGTTCCCCACTTGTGCAATGGGGATTGTGAGGCACTCAGATACTACAGTGATGAGAGCCAGATCAGTACCTGCGATGGATGGCCAGGGAGCTGGAAGGATGAGCTGTTTCCCTCATGGGCTAGGGCATGCGGGAACCAGCAGAAGGAAGTATCATTTTACAGATGGGGAAACTGAGGCACAGAGAGGTGAAGCAGCTTGTCCAAGACCTTGCAGTAAGGAAGTGGCAGGGCCGAGACTAGAACCCAGGAGTCCTGACTCCCAGACTGTTGCTCTGCCCATTTCACCCCAGCCCAGCCCAGCCCAGCCCAGCCACCCTCCCAATGCCCCAGGCTTACCAGCCTTCTTCTTGAAGAAGGACTCTGGGGGCCGGGGCATATCGTGTATCACCTCGTAGAGAGGTTCGAAGAACCCAAACACGTCCTCAGACACCTCGCCTGCTGGGATCGTGTCAATGACCTGGAGAGAACCCCAACAGCTCTTTTGTAGCCAAGTCAGAAGATGGAGGATCCTGCGCTGAGGCAATGGTCACTAAAGCCCTGGGCCTAAGTGCGGTGTCTGGGAGAGGGAGGGACCGACAGTGCTGCCTACGGCAAGTTGGCTGTGGCAAGCGGGCTCCGAAAGCTTCCCCCCACAGCGCTGCCAGGGCACCTCTGGTCTTCCCAGCCTGGGGTCCTTCCCCAGCTCTGCCAGCGCCCTTCCCGCCCCACCTTCCAACGACTCTGAATCCAGGCCCTCCTCAGCCAGAGCCCGTCAGCTGTGCCAGCGTGTGCCACGTGGCCCTCACTCCACCAGGGACGATGCCGAGGGCACTCCTTCCAGGGTGTCCCAAGGCACACGGGGAGCGAGTGAAGCAGCCCCAGGAGCTGCACATAGCAGGGAAACAAGGAGCTCTGTACCTTCTGGGCTACCTTCTTCATCTCCGAGACATACGCGGCCATGGCCTCCTCTTTGGACATCTTCCCCAGCCTGCTCCACGCATCCCTGCCAACCAGAAGGTCTCATGAGGGGGGATGGCATAGCTCAGTGGTTTGAGCATTGCCTTGCTAAATCCAGGGTTATGAGTTCAATCCTTGAGGGGGCCGTTTGGGGATTGGTCCAGCTTTGAGCAGGGGGTTGGACTAGATACCTCCTGAGGTCCCTTCCAACCCTGATATTCTATGACTGATGCCCCATGAACAAGGCTGTACTGCAGTCTACAACACTCCTGCCAAGCAGTTACTGTTTCAGCCTTACCACTTATACCGGCCGATGGGATCCCAGAATCCAGGCCGGGGGATCTTGCAGCTGCCCACTGTCGCCTGCTTGTAGTAGCTGTAGAATCGTAGCATCACCTCGTAGGGGGGGCGGTAGGACCCTAGAACACACACAAACCATCAGAGCAGGAACAGAGGGACTCCGGCCACTTCCCCACCATGAGAAAAGAGAAGGAGGACTTGTGGCACCTTAGAGACTACCGTGGCCATTCAGGGGCTGTTACCCACATCCTTACGCTGTGACCCAGTAGGTGGGTCTCTGCCCACGAGACCAGCACTGAGCCCATGCCCCAGCACGGCGCTAGCAGACCCCAAACTGCTGGAGCTCTGCCCTTCAGAGGAGGCATAGCACTGAGGTGACCATCTGGTCATTGACGGGCCCATGAGTCAGGGCCTTAACCATGATCCGGGCCCAATTCCCACTCAGTTACATTCTGCCTCCCGGAAATACCCTCTGCAGTTTTAGCTGGAAAGTTCAGAGGATGCATAGTGTTGCTGTGCACTGTTAAATAGCAGCTGCATTCCACCCCAGAGGTAGCTGTGTTTCAGTGGTGGGTGAAACCGTGTTTGTGTTTTGGGGCAGGAAGCCCCATATACCATGAGATGCTATTAATACAGGGAGAGAAACAACGAGGGCAGACGCCAGGTACCCGAGGCTGCACAAAGCGGGTCGGTCACGATGTCTTTCTCATCTCCTTTCTCCTCTTAAGTGCAAGCTGAAATTTCACATGGCCTAAAGCATCAGGGCCAAGATTTTCCAGCATGGGGGTGGGGTGGCCTTAAGACAAGTACATAAATAAATGTCTGGTCTTCACAGTTGCTAAGCACATGCAGCTCCTTACTGAGGTCTATGGGAAGCACAAGTGCTCTGCACCTCTGGAGATCAGGCCTCCAGGAACTGCCAGAACAGAACAGATTAAACGCCCATCCACTCCGGTATCCTGCCTCCAGGAGCAGCCAATGCAGAATACTCCAGGAAGAGAAGTCCCTCTGCTCCATGCATGCACCTAATTGTACAATACCCTACAAAGGAGAGATTCCTTCCTGACTGCCCACTAGTGATGAGTGTGTGGCCTGAAGCATGAGAATTAACAACCTTTTGTCCTTATCCTCCCTGGTGTAAGGATAAGATGTGGAATTTTGATTGGCCAGGACGGGACACCAAAGCACGGATACAATCAGAAACCTGACTGAAGTGGCATCTTGTCAACGTCACACAGTTTAACTGATAAGACCCATTTTCCCCACCCTTTTACTAGAGCCAGCGCTGCAGAACCAGCCTATCTGGGAATTAAGCTGTGCTCTGCCAAGCACTAGCTAGTGTCCACCCCAGCACTGCAGGGTCTGAGCACAGAAACGCTACAAACAGCTTGCGTGTGTGCTTACAGCAAGTGGGAGGTGCTGGCTGAGAGTCCTGGGGACTGACACACCCTGGGCAGCAGCAGCGCTGGGCCCTTCACTCAGCCTGCTCTGGGGAGCCAGCTCTCGTGGCAGGAGCAGAGAGTTCAGTGGCCTTCCAGTTGTCGGCCTCTACTGAGACTGCCAAAGAAGGACCAGTCCATGCCCGTCGTGAGGGTGTTTTGTGATGTGACACACGGTGGAGGATGAGACAGTCCATTAATTCCCATCTACTCTGTCTCCTGGGGGCCGGCACAGGCCTGTCCACACTGGACACTTAGTCAGGCTTTGTCCAGTTTCAAGAGACCAAGCCTCAGCCTCACCTACCTGGAGACCCATCCCAACATCCAGCCGACAAAGCCCACGCTAGGCCATCTGCGGAGCTGGACTCACCGTTCTTAGGCAGGCCCTGAATGACTCTGACAGCTGCCTGGAATTGCTTCTGGTAGTCCGGCTCTGCAGGCTCCATCCCCATCCACTCACAGGAGCTGAGAGAGAAGCATGACCCCCCATGTTAGCTCGGGGAGGCCTGTCAGAGGCACTCCTGGCTGGGCAGAGCCTTTGGGCAGGATAGGAGCCTTCCCCAGGGCTCTGGAGCATGTGGGGTTCAGGCATGTGGGCCAGGACTTGGTACTGGTCTGCGAGTTTGCACTGGGCTCACAGCCCTGCCAGGCAGGAACCTCTCGATTCACCAATGCCCCCTGCCGTCCCTCAGCCCCATCCGGCAGCGACCCTCTGGGGTGACAGGGCAGCTGGGTCTCCTCCGCCTGCAGAAGCTGGTCTGTGCCAGGCACACCAGGCTTGGGAGGCGCTGGCCCGGGGCAGGAGCTGCCGGGTGGATCCACAGCCCTGCCCCGAGCGCCCAGCTCCTACCCTGAGCGTTCCCGCACTAGACCTGACCCGGGGCCCAAGCACCTCACCCCGCAGTGCCCTGCTCTAGGGTGCCCTCCCGAGTGTCCCCGGCACAGACCCTGCTGCCCCCTGCCCAGATCCTCCCCATAGTCCATGGCCCCCAGCCCAGATCCCGCACAGCTTAGCTCAGCTCTGGACCCTCTTAGCTCGGACCCCGGAACCCCCCAGCTCCGTGTCCCCCCAGCCCAGACCCCGATCCGCCCTGCCCAGTGTCCCCAGCCCATATCCCCACAGCCAGGGCCCCCCCCAGCCCAGCCCAGCCCGGGCCCCCCCGCCCGGATCGCCACAGCCCAGGCCCCCCTTAGCTCAGACCCCAGATCCCCCCCAGCCCAGACCCCCTTAGCTCGGACCCTGGATCCCCCCAGCCCAGTATTTCCAGCCCGACCCCTTAGCTCGGACCCGGATCCCCCGCAGCCCCGTGTACCCCCAGCTCAGACCCCAGATCCCTCCGCCCGGTGTCCCCAGCCCGGATCCCCCCAGCCCGAACCCCCTTAGCTCGGATCCTGGAACCCCCCAGCCCAGTGTCCGCCCCCAGCCCAGACCCCGGTGCCCCCAGCCCGGGGCCCCCCGTAGCTCGGACTCCGGATCCCCCCAACAGAGCCCAGCCCGGGACCCCCCGCCCGGATCCTCCCAGCCCGATGTCCGCCCCCAGCCCAGACCCCGGATCCGCCCTGCCCAGTGTCCCCAGCCCGTATCCCCACAGCCCGGGCCCCCCCAGCCCAGCCCAGCCCCTTAGCTCGGACCCGGATCCCCCGCAACCCCGTGTACCCCCAGCCCAGACCCCAGATCCCCACAGCCCGGACCCCCTTAGCTCGGATCCTGGAACCCCCCCGCCGGATCGCCCCCAGCCCGGTGTCCGCCCCCAGCCCAGACCCCAGATCCCCCCGCCCGGGCCCCGGATCCTCCCGCCCGGGCCCCCCCCAGCCCAGACCCCGGATCCCCCCTCCCGGCCCCTTAGCTCGGACCCGGCTCCCCCGCCGCCCCGAACAGCTGATCCACCCGGAGACTGGGGTGACCGTCCCAACCAATAACCACATGTCTTTCATTCCCTCGTCACACTTCGCCCAATTAGCATCAAGCTTTAAAAACAATGCAAATAAGCGCCTCCCCGCCGCAGCGGGCTGAACGCCGACTCCAGCGTTGAAAGGCCAAGTCAAGCCGCCGGCCTGATGTAACAGCGCCCCCTGCAGGGGAAGGGGTGGCCTGCGGACCGCTGACCTTGGGCAGTAGTGCCCCCTGCAGGAGCGCGTTAGGCGTCCGCAGTTCGTGGCTGTTTTCTTGGGTGAAGCTGGGACGCGAGCTCTGGGCTGATTTATTATACGGGGTGGAGAGGAGAGATTCCAGTGTGGCAGGGGCCTGTGCAAAACAATGCCCCTGTGGCTGGGTGTGTGGCCTGTGTTTGCGTGGCCCCATGATTTACCAGGAGAGGCTGCGGGAACTGGGGTTATTTAGTCTGCAGAAGAGAAGAGCGAGGGGGGATTTGATAGCAGCCTTCAGTTACCGGAAGGGGATGGAGCTCGGCTGTTCTCAGCGGTGGCAGATGACAGAAGGAGGAGGAATGGTCTCATGTTGCAGTGGGGGAGGTCTAGGCTGGATATTTTAAGGTCAGGCTTGACAAAGCCCTGGCTGGGATGATTTAACTGGGAATAGGTCCTGCTTTGAGCAGGGGGTTGGACTAGATGACCTTCAGGGGTCCCTTCCAACCCTGATATTCTATGATTCTATATTAGGAAACACTATTTCACTAGGAGGGTGGTGAAGCACTGGAATGCGTTACCTAGGGAGGTGGTGGAATCTCCATCCTTAGAGGTTTTTAAGGCCCAGCTTGACAAAGCCCTGGCTGGGAGGATTTAGTTGGGGGTTGGTCCTGCTTTGAGCAGGGGGTTGGACTCGATGACCTCCTGAGGTCCCTGCCAACCCTGATAGTCTATATTAGTACACTAATGTCTGGTGCCTAAGCAGCAGCGCAGGGCAGAGGAAGGATGCACGATACAGCCAGTGTGGACAAGGCCAAAGGAGGGATTGCAGAGTGTGGGAGGTGATCCTGTCACTTCACAGACAAAGGACAGGTCCCTGGTACAGGAAGTTTACAATCTGGATCAGATTGAACACAGTGAACCGCTGCGGCAGAGTGACGGAGCAAGCCGTGGGAGAATGGAGTCACAACAGTGAGTGACCATGGGCTGTGCTGTGGTCTGAGGGGGTTACGTTCTGAGGCTGTAATTTGAGGTTCTGGCTCTTTGACAGCGTCTCAAAGGTGAAGCCCTGACTGGGGAAGGAATCTTGGACCTGAGAAAATGTGTGTGGGAAGGGGAGCTCTTCCCACCTGGCTGCTATTTACTAGCATGGACTGAACCGAAAGAGTAGCATCTCCCTGTGTGGGGGGAGGGATAGCTCAGTGCTTTGAGCATTGGCCTGCTAAACCCAGGGTTGTGAGTTCAATCCTTGAGGGGGCCATTTAGGGATCTGGGGCAAAAATTGGGGATTGGTCCTGCTTTGAGCAGGGGGTTGGACTAGATGGCCTCCTGAGGGCCCTTCCAACCCTGATATTCTATGAGTCCGGGCACTGTCTCCTGCGTGTTGGCTCCTGTGGGTCAGAGGCAGACTGAGCAGCTGGTCTGAAATGCCCTTAGGGAGATAGCCCCTATCCCAAGGAGGCCTCCTGTGACCAAGGCCTTAGCCGCATCATCAGAGTGAGAATCCAAGAATTCACAGCTGGGCAGAACTTTCACTTCCTCTGCCTGCACCAGGGCATGGTTTGCTTTTCCACAGCACCTGCTAAAACAGCATCTAAGTGCATTGTCAGGTCAAATGCCAGCCTGTCGCAATGCACCATTACCAAACGGTGCCACCATGTCGCCCCTCCAGAAGGCACAGCAGTCCTAGAACTATCAGGATGGGTGGCAGCACACCCTGCATGGGTCTCTTGGGGTGCTGCCCAGGGTCTTCCCCTGCTGCAGCCCAGGGTCGTCTGGGGGTGCTGGCTTTGAGATGAGATGTAACATGCAGATCCCAGGGCCTGTTGTGAAGAAGGGGGCAGTGATGCAGGCTTCCGGGCCAATTGTCAGAGCATATTAAATGGTCTTGCAGTTAAAGCACAGGGCTGGGCACCAGGCCGGACCCTCCATTGCCCTGCGCCTCACGCAGTCATTCACACCAGTGCAGTGCAGGCAAACTGTCCCCATGCCTGACTCTGGTGGTGTTTGATAACCACTTTACACTGGCGTACATGATGACAAAAAGTGCAGGGCAGCAATGGATTGGGCCCCTGGACTCCTGGGTTCCATTCCCAGTTCTGTCACAGACCAGCTGGGTGGCTGAGGGCGAGTCCCTTCCACTCGTTGTGCCTCACTTGCCCCTTCTGCGGAATGGGGAGTGATACTGATGTGCCCCAAGCAGTGTCCCGAGGGCTAATGCCCTGGGGGAGAGCGTGGCAGGTTATCCCCACTCTGGGACGCCACCTGATGTACTGGGGCACCACTGAGCCCGCCTGTTCCACCTGCCTGGCTCCCTTACACTGTCCTGCTGAGCCAGACCCTCAAGCCTCCTCCAGGACACACAGGCAGGGACACGCCCAGCTGCAGAAAGACACCAACTCTGAAATCCATACAGCTGGGGAAATCCCAGCACTCAAGTGCACAGCCCTCTGGGTGCAAACCCCAGACTGTATTGTCTTGCGCTGCACAGAGACCTGTACAGTGCACGCTAACGAACTTCGCCTGTGACCCTACACCCCATATTCTTCACAGAGATCTTGTTAGGATATGAATATGGCATAACTAAGATGTGTCATGCAAGATTGGTCTTGTGAGATATAATTGGAAAGGTTTCAGAGGGGTAGCCGTGTTAGTCTGTATCAGCAAAAACAACGAAGGGTCCTTGTGGCACCTCAGAGACTAACAAATTTGTTTGGGCATAAGCTTTTGTGGGCTAGAACCCAAGGTGATGTTATTGACTTGAACTGGGACCATATAGAACATGGTTGCAACCAAGGTCCTGTAGTGGCACCAAATCTTGTATAAAGGGGGTCAAGTAAGGTGTCTAAGACAAGGTGATGGTTTGCTGGTTAGGATTATGCCGTCTATATATGTGTATCCTTGTTGTATTTAAAGTTATAAGTATTGGCTCTATCCTGTCTGTAGTTCAAACTTGTGCTGTGCTTCTGGGTGACACCCCAGACAAGTTGGTTTCAGCACTGCCTAATCTGCTTGATGGCCCATTAAGGACCATCAGCTCTACAAGTGACCCATTGGGAGAAGGCAGACACGCCTGGGGACTCAGCCAGGTGTGCAGGGACCTGCCTAGGGACAGAACTCTGAGGTGTTTCCAGGCCATGTGATGGACAGCTTGTCTTTGGAACAAAGAAAGAGAGACCACATGGCAAGAGACTATAAAAAGCTGCGGCAGCTCCTCCATCTGGTCTTCAATCCTGTTTCGTGCCTTTGGAGGGACTTTGCTACCCTGAAGCTTTGAACCAAGGACTGAATGACCCATCCCAGCTGTGGATTTACTCCAGAGACTTGATTTGAACCTGCAGTTTATTCTACCACTGCTGCAAGCCTGAACCAAGAACTTTGCCATTACTGTGTGTCATTGTTTCCATTTAACCAATTCTAGCTCTCATCTCTATCTTTTCCCTTTTATGAATAAACCTTTAGATTTTAGATTCTAAAAGATTGGCAACAGCGCGATTGGTGGGTAAGATTTAACTTGTATATTGACCTGGGTCTGGGGCTTGGTCCTTTGGGATCGAGGGAACCTTTTTTCTTTTACTGGGGTATTGCTTTTCATAACTATTCGTCCCCATAACGAGTGGCACTGGTGGGGATACTGGAAACTGGAAAAAGAACAGGAGTACTTGTGGCACCTTAGAGACTAACCAATTTATTTGAGCAGAAGCTTTCGTGATGCATCCGATGAAGTGAGCTGTAGCTCACGAAAGCTTCTGCTCAAATAAATTGGTTAGTCTCTAAGGTGCCACAAGTCCTTTTCTTTTTTGCGGATACAGACTAACACAGCTGCTACTCTGAAACCTGGGAAACTTGAGAGTCTAATGGAATTGCTTGTGTGACTTGTGGTTAGCCAGTGGGGTAAGACCAAAGTCTTCTCTGTTTGGCTGGTTTGGTTTGCCTTGGGGTGCATAGAAACCCCAGCCTGGGGCTGTAACTGCCCTGCTTGAAGCAATTTGTCCTGAATTGGCACTCTCAGCTGGGTCCCGCCAGAACGAGCATCATTACACCCGACCCCCAGTTTGAGAACCCCTGGCGTAGTGAGTGTTTATCTATAGTTTATCTATAGTTCCTCTTATGCAATGAGCAAAGCTCTGTCAGATTTCAATCCACTTTCTTAATTCTTGTTATTAGTTATTATTTTTCTGACAGTAGTGTTCAGGGGCCCAGTCATGCACCGGGACCCCCTGGGGCTAGGCCCTGTACAATCGCAGAACACAAAGACAGGCCCTGCCCCAGGAAGTGTGCAGTCTAAATCTTGTGTGTCCATGATTGAATATTTTGGCTTTAGGGAGATGCAGTCCTGCTGCTGAGCACTGGAAAAGCTGGCCTGAATCAGGCCCTCCATTTTGGCTCTGTAAATCCAAGCCTGCAGAGCGGGAACGAGGGTTACATCCACGAGCTACAGCAGAGCCATGTGTGCCCAGGCCCAGCATCCCTAGCCTGAAACGTAGAGGATGGAAGCCCCAGGGTGGGAAGGTTTGAAAGCCCTGAGTAGGAGCACTGGGTCTCTGCTCTCCACCAGCACAGGAGTATGAGGAGACCCCAGGGACACAGCCAGGTTTGCTAACTACATGCAGACACACAAGGCCTGGCTACAGAGGTGCATTGCTGCGCCTTAGGATCTGTTGGCTTCTGCAGGAGAAGATTATTTAAAGTGATGCTACCCTATTCCAATAGGCTACACCATCCTTCCCCTCAAGGGACATTGTAAGGGGGTATGTGTCCCTTTAAGAGTAGAGGGGGCCAGAAGACCCGGTTCAGGAAGCTAGAGCTCCAGCTAGAAGGGCGAGGAGCGGTGCCCCTGGGGAGAACAGATGCTGGCAGGAGCAGAGCTCCATAAGGGCAGCCCAAGCAGCCAGAGAGGAGTGAGTGTGAGCACTGCCTAGGGCTGCAATGGTGAATGGCACTTTTGAGCCAGGGCCACGTGGAACAGTCTGTGGTTGTTAAACCTGCCCCAAGAGGAGTGTCAAAGCTCCCCGAGCCAGTGGCTCATTGCACTGACACAGGTTCATAGCCAGCGGTGCACCAGGGCCAGCGTCACAGGCAACTGCCTTTGACTGCCCTAACCCCACGCATGCCCTAGCCCCATTTTGCAGCTGGGTGAACTGGAGGTGGCCTCGCCCTGTAGGATCAAGTGAGACTCAAAGCCACAGGTTTTGGGGGATGCACCTAAACCACTAAGCCACCAAACCTCATCAGCTGGTAGGTAAGACTATTCATAAGAGAGACTGTGTAGAGCTCATTAGGGGCCCTCAAGAGGGCACCCAGAGAGTGGGTGCTGCAAGGAGACCTCTGGCTGGGAGGGGTGCTCAGGCAGTGCTGCAGACATAAAACCCAATCAGGAACATATCGCAATCAGAATGGCTCCAATGAAATACACAGGTGCTCCAGGGTCAGTCCGAGAGGCGGTGGATGTGTGGGCGTTACTACAGAACCCGGAGCAGTGTCTCCACAGCATCTCCTGCTCCGTCGTGGCAAGTCACTTGTAGCAGAAGCAGGGCCTTGAGGCTCGCTGCTGCTATCACCAAAGACTGTCTGGGGCTGTGTTGTCACCTGGGTATTTTCCACAGTTTGGAACGGCCTGCTGAACGTCTGCTCAAAAGCTGGGGTAAGCCATGGAGTCTTCTCCATGGTCTTGGTGCTGCGCCCACACAGGACCTGTCTGTGATGTGTCCGTGTTTCCGTGAATTATCTCAGTCACTTCCTACCAAGATCTTTTCTCCCATGTGAAAACTGCACAGCTGGGTCGGACCGTGTGTGGCCTGGTTTTTAGATCAGGCTTTAACAGCTCCAAGTAAGACCTTCAATTATGTCCCACAAACAGCATTGCTGGTGTCTGATTTGTAGTCGCACAGGCTACGTACCTAGGGGCCAATAGGAAATTCACAATCTTGTGTTGTGAGCTGCTTTCACCTGGGGTCATGAATCACTTGCTTGAACATCTGATGAAATCTTTCCACTGATCCATTTGGTGCAGGATGGGAAGGAGCTGATGGGACATCTGAACACTTCCACCGGCTGTGCTGAAGTCGTTGAAGTCGTACCGGAAACTCCAGGCCAGCTAGAATGAGCATCTGTCCCATACGTGGTCCGGCTCCAACAGTCTATGTGAATTTGCTGCCCTGGGGCCGCTGGCCACTCGGAAGGATGCAGAGGAGCACGCTCAGGTATGTGCTGCGATCGCTTTGCCATTCCCTCTATTTGACAGGTTTCAGAGGGGCAGCCGTGTTAGTCTGTATCTGCAAAAACAACGAGGAGTCCTTGTGGCACCTTAGAGACTAACAAATAACTGATAATAGCCCACTGTAACTGATTTATCTCGTTAGAGTTGGTAAGGCAACCCCCATCTTTTCATGTTCATGTTTTCATGCTCTCTGTATCTATCTATCTTCCTACTGTATTTTCCACTCCATGCATCTGATGAAGTGGGTTTTAGCCCTCGAAAGGTTATGCCAAAATAATTTGTTAGTCTCTAAGGTGCCAGAAGGACCCCTCTATTTGAATGTCAGTCCCTGGTCCCTGCACAACTCCTGGCCAGGACCTTCATGTTCCCAGTTCCCAAATGGCCTTCATGTAATTTTTGGGGTGTCTGTATGTAGCAGGACCTGAGCTTTCGGGACTAGTTACTCTGGGGCCATACATTAGGCACATCTCACAGGGTCCATTCACTTCCTCCTGGCCACTGCGGCGAATCAGCTCTTTCGAGGTCTGAGGCCCCCTTCTGCTGATTTCTGCATGGCCTCCTGCCCCTCACTTGCGCTCTTTCTGCACCTCAGGGTGCTCCCTCTTCGGGTCTCCACCCTCCAGCCAGGTCGCTGTGCATTTCCCCCTTCTGGGGTACCAAAGTCTTCCCTTACCAGCAGCCTTAGGCAGTCTTCCCATTCACTGCCCCATGGTGCCACTTCGCCAGTGGCTCAAGGGTGCCAATTTGAGGGGGTGCAGGGGAGGGCAGGAGCCCCCCGCCCCCGAGTTTCATACAGGAGGTGCAAGCTCCCAGGTGGAGCCCTTAACTACAGCCCAGCATCAGTGTGAAATGTAAGGGCTTGGCTCCACTTGCGAGTCACAGCGCATTAAGGGAGCCCCGGGCGCACTAGCTCACTCCCCGTCCACACTGGCAAGGCACGTGGAGCGCTCTGTCTCCGCAGCTACAGCGCTGCTGGTACGCCACCTCGGCGAGTGGAAGAGCGTCTTGTGCGCCCCCCGCTGGAGCGCCACGGCACCAGTGTGGACGCCCTGGTCCTATAGTGCGCTCTGACCGGCCTCCAGACGTGTCCCACGATGCCTGTGCTAGCCACTCTGGTCATCACTTTGAACTCTACTGCCCTGGCCTCAGGTGACCACCCGTCACACCCGCCCTTTAAATTCTCTGGGAATTTTGAAAATCCCCTTCCTGTTTGCTCAGCCAGGCGTGGAGTGCTCTCTGCGCATCTGTCCAGGTGACCGTGCCTCCACCGTGCCGGGAGGGGCGGGGGGACCATTGCTGCACACAGGCAAGCTGCAGATGGGTCCGGGCGGAAGCCCATTGCAGTAGAAGACCCTCCCTTGCTTCCCAGGTCACCCTCAGCAGCGAGATCTCTTCCAGGACCCAAAAAGAAAAGGAGGACTTGTGGCACCTTAGAGACTAACCAATTTATTTGAGCATAAGATGAAGTGAGCTGTAGCTCACGAAAGCTGATGCTCAAATAAATTGGTTAGTCTCTAAGGTGCCACAAGTCCTCCTTTTCTTTTTGTGAATACAGACTAACACGGCTGCTACTCTGAAACCTTCCAGGACGGACTCCTGTGGAAAATGTGGGGACCGTGTTCAGTATAGGGGCTCTCCCCAAGGCACAGAAACCCAGAGGGCAGTACAGCCGTGAAACAATCAGTCCCCCTTGCCCCTGTGCTTACTCACCATGTGGGGGCTCCCGTGGGTTATGTGCGCTCGCTTTGGGATGCGCAAATTATGCTATTGTGTAGACTGTGCTTGCCCTTAAGTACGGGGGAATCGTTGCTCTGTCTGCTGTGAACACTGCTGCCTCTGTCAAGTGTTGCCTTTTGCCTTTACAGATGCAACCTTGAGATCTCAGCCCTCTGTGTTATCACCGGCCAAAAGACTCAAAGAATCAGAAAGAGGCCACGTAGAAGCAAGGAAGACATGTTGCTTGAAGTAATGCAGCATTCAAGTCATGAAAATTGAAAAGTCCCGGACTCGCGGGACAGTGAAAGGAGGATCCGCCAGCAGAATGCGGCACGCCGGCACAAAAAGCGCGGTGCTCCGGCAGCAAAGCCCGGATCGGCTGATAAGCATAATGGAGCACCAAGCGGACTCGATCCAGGCGCTCGTAGCCATGCAGGCAGAGCACCGACCCCCCACCCCCGCCGCCCTTGTCCCAAAACTCCTTCCCTTGTGCCCCCATGTCACCTCCAACCCACTTTCCCCAACATCTCGGTTCTTACCGCCACCAGCTGCCTCCAACACCTGTAGCTTCACCACCCAGCCCTGCAAACTGCCCACCGCACTCAGCCCCCGTCACCAGGCAGCAGAGCCAGCCCGAAGTGCAGCACTCGTTGCACAGCACTCCAGGCAGGAAGGCTGAGTATGAGAACAGGACATACGCAAATCTGTGATTGTACCGTTCCCCACCCCACCCCCTTGCCCTTTCTGTTTCCCAAGCGGTCGTGTTTCTTTTCAAAAAATGGATTTTTTGGCTTTAAAAACATTCTTTATTATTGCATAAAGTAAAAGATACTTAGCCCAGGAAAGCAACAGGCACCACAAGTCAGCGGAGCAAACACAGATTCCTACTAACGTTGGAACCACTGCACTTCACGCCCGTGCAGGGCACCAGACATTACTGGTGGCTTTCAGCCTCAAATTGCTCCCTCGAGGCATCCCTAATTCTTGCAGCCCCGCGCTGGGCCCCTCTAATAGCCCTGCTCTCTGGCTGTTCAAATTCAGCCTCCAGGTGTTGAACTTTCAAGTTCCATGCCTGAGTGAAGCTTTCACCCTTCCCTTCACAAATGTTATGGAGGGTACAGCACACAGATATAACCGCGGGGATGCTGTCATCGGCCAGGTCCAGCTTCCCATACAGAGAGCACCAGCGGCCCTTTAAATGGCCAGAAGCACACTCCACAGTCATTCTGCACTGGCTCAGCCTGCTGTTGAACCGCTCCTTGGTGCTGTCAAGGCTCCCTGTGTAGGGTTTCATGAGCCATGGCATTAAAGTGTAAGCAAGGTCTCCAAGGATCACAATGGGCATTTCGATTTCCCTTACGGTGATCTTCTGGTCTGGGAAGAAAGTCCCGTCTTGCAGCTTCCTGAACAGGCCAGTGTTCCAAAAGATGCGTGCGTCATGCACCTTTCCGGGCCAGCCTGCGTTAATGTCAATGAAACGCCCACGGTGATCCACAAGCGCCTGGAGACCATAGAGAAATACCCCTTCCGATTAACGTACTCGGAGGCTAGGTGGGCTGGTGCCGGAATTGGAATATGTGTGCCATCTATCGCCCCTCCGCAGTTAGGGAAACCCATTTCATGCACATTACCCAGAGTCACGGTTCTTCTGAGCAGGATGTGATTAATGGCCCTGCAAATTTGCATCAACATGATTCCAACGGTCGACTTTCCCACTCCAAACTGGTTAGCAACTGATCGGTAGCTGTCTGGAGTTGCCAGCTTCCAGATTGCAACAGCCACCCGCTTCTCCACCCTCAGGGCAGCTCTCAATCTTGTGTCCTTGCGCCGCAGGGCGGGGGCGAGCTCCTCACACAGTCCCATGAAAGTGCCTTTTCTCAGCCGAAGGTTCTGCAGCCACTGCCCGTTATCCCAGATGTGCCTGACGATGTGATCCCACCGCTCAGTGCTTGTTCCCGAGCCCAAAGCAGCGTTCCACGGCGGTGAGCACGTCCGTGAATGCCACAAGCGTTATTCGAGTCGATATCATCGTCGGACTCCTCACGGTCACTTTGGATCGTAAGGAGTAACTCGACCGCCAAACGTGACGTGCTGGCGAGACTCGTCAGCAGACTCCTCCGCCGTTCGGGCTCCATTCCCGCAGACCGAAAGGGAAGACAGCGCGCAGTGCAAAAACGTTGACAGATGGCGCCAAATGTGGACGGAAGCCCAGGGATTGCTGGGATGCGAACCGATGCATCACGGGGCGTTGGGACAGGACCCAGAGTGCCCTGCACCCCCTGCCCCCTTCCCACAAGCCACAGCGCCCGACTGGGAAGAGGTGCTCTGGGGGATGGCTGCCCACAATGCACCGCTCCCGATGCCGCTGCAAGTGCCGCAAATGTGGCCACACCGGTGCGCTTGTTCCTGTCCGTGTGGACAGACTGCAGCGCTTCCCTGCTGCGCTCCCCCAAGGCGGGTTTAACTCAAAGCGCTCTACATCTGCAAGTGTAGCCAAGCCCTAGGTCTCCCACATGCCGGGAGTGGTCCGGGGCAGGGGGGCAGGGTTTTGTTTACAAACAGAGGCAGGGTGATTAAGATAAGAAAGGGCTGGTGATTAAATGAAGGGTATGGAAGTTTAGGGTGTACAAGAGGAATCCCTCTGTGGAGGGGGAGAGGGAGGAGGGGTTGTTTTAGAGAGAAGGGGGGGATTCACAAAAATACAGCAAAGGTTACATTCAGAAAAGGGGGGGGATTTGGGGGCATAGGTGGAAAGAAAGGGTCAGACCCAGGGCAGGGCTAGCAGCGTATAGAGACGTTCCCACTCTACCTGTGATACTTATGTGGCCCCATCACCATAGTATCTAAGGCTGCACCTCGCAAGGTCTAACCTATTTCTCCTCCCAGCTCCTGCCCCCAGAGCAATGCCGTTATCCCCATTGTACAGAGGGGCACTGAGGCACACACAGACTAAAGGCCAGATTTTCAAAGGTGTCTTGGCACCTAGTGAGATTTTCAAATGCACTTAGAAGGTTTGGTGCTTTGTAAACCCCACTAGAGATCTCGCTGCATCTTTGGGTGCCTAAAAACCTTTGAAATTCTGTCCTTAAAAGTACTGGCTGGGGGGTCAGGCTGGAAGTCCATGGGGGGAGTAGAACCCAGGTCTCTCAGGGCCAGCTCCCTATACAGGGGACCAGCCGCTCTCTCCGCTGCATGCTGCAGAAAAAAAGAGAGGACTGATAGATGGGAGCAAAACCAAGGTGGCCAGTTCTCAGAGACTCCGGCCCACGGTCCCAGGACGGAGGCCATGTCTGACTGCATGAAAAGCAGCGCAGAGCTTCGGAAGGCTGGAGAATGGGAGTCAGATGAGAGGAGCTGACTTGACTCCCCAGGGGTGGGGGTTCTGCCCCAGGCTGGGTTGTACAGCAGTGGCTGCTGCTGGGCAATTTTACATTTTAACTGAAAACCATTTTGTTCAGTCATTTTTTGTTCTGAATTTGAGGAAAGGAAGGAACGAGAAAGTGTCTTGTAAGCATCCAATGTGTTTATGCCCCAAATTCTTAGGTTTCCGCTGTATTCAGGCCAATTCCAGAGCAAAGAACAGAAACTGCATCCACAGAGTTCATAAAGTCGACGATTATTGTCATGATTTGTATTATTCACTGGGCACCATCTGTGTGCTGAGCGCTGCTCAGATATGCCAGAAAATCGCGTCCCTGAGCAAATGCATCTAAGCTGGGTAACTCTGGAGACGCTGGCTCAGAGGTTTAAGAGTGAAGTGTGGAGTTACTGAGCACACACATTATCACGTGGTCGCTGTGATGTTAATACCTGTGAGTGTAGGCAGTGATGGCAGTAGAAGTTTTACTTGATTAAGGACTAGAAGATTTGACCCTCCAACTTTCTTTCTAAAGGAAGAGCTGCCCAGAGCTCCTGTGTCTGTTTATTTTCCTTTCCTGCCTCAGAGGTCTCTGTTTTTTCTCAACTTTAAAATACTGAATCTTCTTGGTGTTTGGTTTTAAATATTCCCCTGTGAGAGCTGCAGCTCCAGTCACTGGAGTGTCGTGTTTCGGAGCCTTCTGGAAAGTCACGAGCCTTTCAACAGAAGGGAAAGCCGTGTTGCCAACTCTCATGGTTTTTGTCATGAATCTCATGATAATTATTGTTTCCTTAAAGCCCCAGCTCCTGGAGTCAGGTGGAGATGTGATGGTTTCAGCCTTATTCTTAAAGAAAAATCAAGTTTCTAGTCCTCGTAGTGGTGGAGAAAGCTTCAAAATGTGACCCCAGTGTTTCCTAAAGGCTCGAAAAGCAGAAGGCAAATGAAAAGAACCCCAGATCTGTTATTTTTACATAATCATGATTTTAAAGCCAATTTCATGATTTTTGGTGAGCCTGATTCATGATTTTTGAATTGGGATTGGCAACACTGTGAAAGTGACTTGAAAGTGTCAGTTTCACTCCTGTTTAAGGTTAGAGTCTGGTCTATTATTTGTAGTGAGGTAACACCTCTAGAGCCCAGGCAGGTGCAGTATAAACTCCGGGGGTGGGCTTCCCCTAGTAGGATGTTAGCCTCTCTGCTGTTCGCTGCTCAGCTGGTTTGCAGCTGACTGGCTTTTTATAACAGTCAGGCCCACTCAAGGCTCACCTGAAACAAAGCACGCCCAATTCACACTTTTCAAACCACCAATCAAGCACACTGTCAAACTGTCCCCACAACAGACACTCAGATACTCACCACCGCAGCCTCCCTAATGCAGCCCTTAGCGTACCTCCTCTCAGACAGATCCCAGTCCATCCTCCCCGTGGAAGGAAAAGGCTGGGGTAGAGACCGTCGAATCGTGGAAGTCAACGAATGGCTACGCAGGTGGTGTCGGAGAGAAGGCTTTGGATTCTTTGACCATGGGATGGTTTCCAAGAAGGAGGAGTGCTAGGCAGAGACGGGCTCCACCTAACGAAGAGAGGGAAGAGCATCTTTGCAAGCAGACTGGCTAACCTAGTGAGGAGGGCTTTAAACTATGTTCACTAGGGGAAGGAGACCAAAGCCCTGAGGTAAGTGGGATACTGGGAGAAAGCACGGGCAGGAGAGTGCAAGAGGTGAGGCCTCTAGCCTCATACTGAGAAAGTGGGATGATCAACAAGTTATCTTAAGTGCCTATACACAAATGCAAGAAGCCTAGGCAACAAGCAGGGAGAACTGGAAGTCCTGTCACAAACAAGGAATTATGATGTGGTTGGAATAACAGAGACTTGGTGGGATAACTCACATGACTGGAGTATTGTCATGGATGGATATTAACTGTTCAGGAAGGACAGGCAGGGCAGAAAAGGTGGGGGAGTTGCACTGTATGTAAGGGAGCAGTATGATGCTCAGAACTCAAGTATGAAACTGCAGAAAACCCTGAGAGTCTCTGGATTAAGTTTAGAAGTGTGAGCAACAAGAGTGATGTGGGAGTCTGCTAGAGACCACCGGACCAGGGAGATGAGGTGGACGGGGCTTTCTTCCGGCAACTCACGGAAGTTACCAGGATCGCAGGCCCTGGTTCTTATGGGAGACTTCAATCACCCTGATATCTGCTGGGAGAGCAATACAGCGGTGCACAGACAATCCAGGAAATTTTTGGAGAGTGTAGGGGACAATTTCCTGGTGCAAGTGCTGGAGGAACCAACTAGGGGCAGAGCTTTTCTTGACCTGCTGCTCACAAACTGGGAAGAATTAGTGGGGGAAGCAAAAGTGGATGGGAACCTGGGAGGCAGGGACCATGAGATGGTAGAGTTCAGGATCCTGACACAGGGAAGAAAGGAGAGCAGCAGAATACGGACCCTGGACTTCAGAAAAAGCAGACTTTGACTCCCTCTGGGAACTGATGGGCAGGATCCCCTGGGAGAATAACATGAGGGGGAAAGGAGTCCAGGAGAGCTGGCTGTACTTTAAAGAAGCCTTATTGAGGTTACAGGGACAAGCCATCCCAATGTGTATGTAACCCTTCTACCCATCAGAGTTGGCAGCAACAAGGGCCGGGGGGGTTTAAGGGGCACCTTACGTGGTCCAAAGCCGATTGCCCCACCTCTCCATGGGGCTCTGCTCTGCCAACCACCCCCACGAGCTGCTCCAGGCATCCGACAAACTGCTCTGCTCCACCAGCCGCTCTGCTCTGCCAGCCGTCCCGCAAACTGCTCCGCAATATATCTTCAGGCTCCCCCACTACTGAACACAACACTCAGTGATTTCAGCTCTTTTGTGATTTCAGCTTGTAGTAGGGGAGCCTCAGTGCTGGTGCACTATTAGCCCAAAGTGAGCTCAGCAGCCTGTAACTAGACTCCTAATAGAATCAAAATTAGCTCTGATACTCCACGGTGAAGAGAAAAATAAGTGCAACTAGCGCGTAAAGCCCTCACCAGGGGACCCATACCACCCCCATATTAATATCTGTCCCCAGCCTCTCTCCATTCATTGGGAATTGGAACCCATGACCCTTGCCTGCCGAGTGCTGCTTAGTTGATGGTGAGTCCCTCCATCATAACAAAAGGCCATGTACAGTTCCACTGTCCTTGATTCACATAATCAGGATAATAGTTTATTCCTGCCCCAATAACAGAGAAGCTGGGGCTCCTACAGCAGCCAAAGTGACCATCTAGGCGGGGGGAAGGGGGTGTCTATGCAAATGAGATCAGCCCCTGAAGTTCTTTTCCACAACCCACCATGACTCGCCACCAGATGTCAGGGTAGAACTCATCCTGACTCTGCTTACAGATAGAAAGAATAGTAAATATGGCAGGCGACCGGCTTGGCTTAACAGTGAAATCCTTGCTGATCTTAAACACAAAAAAGAAGCTTACAAGAAGTGGAAGATTGGACAAATGACCAGGGAAGAGTATAAAAATATTGCTCGGGCATGCAGGAGTGAAATCAGGAAGGCCAAATCATACCTGGAGTTGCAGCTAGCAAGAGATGTTAAGAGGAACAAGAAGGGTTTCTTCA